CGGTGTCAGTTTTCATGACGGACGCTCGGATGAAGCCTTCGTACAGGAAACAGAGTCAAAGAGAAGCTGGAGGAAACGTTTCCCTCCGGAGGTGGAGACCAAACACAGAGAGACAACTTTTTACTGAGATGTGATTCATTGTTGAGTTTAACAACCGAAGGATTTTCTAGAAATGAGTTCATCTGGAATGAAAACTGCAGTAAAACTGTGACAGTGTGTTTGGGTAGTTTTGTTGCACTTTGTTCAGACCAATGAGATAAACTGAGACTGGTGAATATGAGCTAATGGATTAATTGAAGTACATTCAGACACAGCTCCACAGACGTCGTGACCTCTGTGATGTTTCTGTGAATGTGAGAGTTTAGTGACGTTAAACGAGTTTAGTTTCCGTGATTAAATCGTTTTAAACACGTTGGATTCAAAGTTTTATGTGAAAATGAGATAAAAGTTGCTCATATCATTTTTTATAGATTTACAGATATTCAGAGTTGTAACGGCTTTGAAACAACATTGAGACGAGAGCGTTGTAATTTACAATTTATTTCATCAGCGTGATCTACACGATCTGACACCTGCCCCCTGGTGGATTGTCCCTGCACTGCATACAGTAGTGTCCAAAAGGGCTGCGTTCATGTTGTCACCATTATCAGTGGAAATTATATTTTTTAAAGTTTCTGATAAGAAAAAACATTTAAAGATGAATATTTACTGTTTTGCAGCAACGTATTAATTCTTCATTAGATCGTCAGAGATGAAGCAGCAGGTTAACGTTAACTGTAAAGTCTTCATCAGTAATTTACATTTCCTGATGTTTGATCTGGATTCTGATGAATCACACAAAATGAAAAATCAATAAATACCTGATGATTCAGATATGATAATACAAATTTAATCTACGCTAATTATTCAGTTTCTTTTGTATTTTGTTAAAAGCTCAAATTAAAAACCAGTGAATGGTTGTAATTTGTGGTGTCAGACGTCTGCAGGCTCATGTTCATGTTTACTCACAGACGCTGGTTCATGTTCACAGGAAGTTGTGGTTTGATGCTGAAAAAAAAATCTACATTCACTTAAAGTTTAATATTAAAACCAAAACTGACTTTTAGACACAAGAAGGTAAAAAAAACTAGCTGAAGAAGAAACTTCAGAAACATTCAGAGTTTTACTGAAGACGTTTCCTCCTAAAAATGTAAATAAACCAAGTCAACAACAAGTCGTCACATCCCGAGGATCCAGAGGAAAACACACACTGTCGGTTTGACAAACACGTAATTTAATTTTCATGTAACTCAAATTCATTTCTCAACGTTTAACACAGAGGTTTGTGTGACAGAATGAAAACCAACAATCTCATCAGGGTGAGTGTGTGTGTGTGTGTGTGTGTGTNTGTGTGTGTGTGTGTGTGTGTGAGTGTGTGTGTGTGTGTGTGTGTAGCTGACTTTATTAAATTACAGTAAAACTGCCGGCTGACATTAACTCCAGATGCGAACTGGAAGAATTGATCTGTTTCTCATCAAACCTCCAGCTGTCCGATAACTTCCTGTCGTACGTTTTGCTGCTGGAACAGAATCATACGACTTTAAATTTGTTCTAATTTATTGAACATAAAATCAAAACAATATTTGATTACAAAAAAAAATCTTTTTTTTCTGCTCCGTCACTGATCAGAAAAATCTGCATGTTTTCAATTAAACTAACAGAAAAAAACTGTAAAGCTGAACGTTGAAAAGTGAGTTCAATTTATTCACATTTTTATATTTTTGACTTCACTTCATCTACTGATAATGTGAAGCTTTTAATACATGAACCATAAAACATCATGTACTTTAATAAACATGTTCGAGTCCATTAATTCAACGTAATCTGAGGTTGCAAATGTTGAATATGTTAAAAATAAATCAATTATTAAATACACGTGTAAAACCTCAGTGTGAATGATCCTGTTTGACTCATATTTTACAGATTAAATGATATTCAGCTGGTTTCAGACAGAAGTGTTGATCGTTTTATAATTATCTCATTTCTAATAGAAAACCTTAAATAAAGTGAAGGTTTAAATGACTGTCTGATGAAGAGACGCCGTCCCGTTGCATTATGGGATATGTAGGAGTGTTCACACTGAGCATCTGTTGCAAACATCTGGATCATTTTGGTTTTACACAGAAAACAATTATTCATTTAACGCTTGTTTCCCTCAGAGGCCAGGTTTTATTGTGACAGCTTCACAGTTTACTTTCTTTGAGATTTATTCACTTCAACCTGTTTTCATTTTTAAAGACGTGAGTCTTTAACATCAGGATGAAAGTCGTCATCGATCCGAACATTTTAAACCAGAAAAACTCATTACAGACGATGAAAACACTTGAATAGATCATCAAAACTTTCATGTCTATTAAAGCTGAGTCAAGATAAGTGAGAAGTTTATAGAAATTAAAATTAACTGAATAATAATTTACAGATTATTACAGATATCAGTTTGAACTGAAGACGGATTAAAAACATTTCTTTTGATCACTTTTTGGCTCCATATGTTTTTATTATATGTTATTAATGTTGGTTTAATTAATAATCTGGGTCAGAGAGTGACACATGAGTGTGCGTGTGTGTGTGACTGCTTTATCTAAACCACCCCCCCCACACACCCCAGGAGACCTCAATACAGCGTGTTGGGATGATAAATAGCGGGCCGGTGGCCGGTGGATCGATCCCCTCCCCCCCTCTCCTCCTCTCCTCCTCTCTCCCTCTCTCTCTATCTCTCCCCCCCCCTCTCTCTCTTCTCCACAAACACAAAACTATATACAGCAATTAATTCCTGCTTGTCCCTCCATCCCTCATCGGCCCTGCCGGCGCGTATCGACGCAGATTACTGCTGATGGTCCGTTTTATCACCGCGGAATACACACACACACACACACACACACACACACACA